TAAAAGCTATTTATGACAAACCAACAGCCAATATCATACTGAATGGGCAAAAACTGGAAGCATTCCCTTTGAAATCTGGCACTAGACAAGGATGCCCTCTCTCACCACTCCTATTCAATATAGTACTGGAAGTTCTAGCCAGAGCAATCAGGCAAGAAAAAGAAACAAAGGGTATTCAAATAGGAAAAGAGGAAGTCAAATTGTCTCTATTTGCAGATGACATGATTGTATATCTAGAAGGCCCCATCGTCTCAGCCCAAAATCTCCTGAAACTGATAAGCAACTTTGGCAAAGTCTCAGGATACAAAATCAATGTGCAAAAATCACAAGCATTCCTATACACCAATAACAGACTTAAAGAGAGCCAAATCAAGAATGAACTGCCATTCACAATTGCCACAAAGAGAATAAAATATCTAGGAATACAACTAACAAGGAACGTAAAGGACCTTTTCAAGGAGAACTACAAGCCACTGCTCAACAAAATAAGAGAGGACACAAACAGATGGAGAAACATTCCATGTTCATGGTTAGGAAGAATCAATATCATGAAAATGGCCATACTGCCCAAAGTAATTTACAGATTCAATGCTATCCCCATCAAGCTACCAATGACCTTCTTCACAGAACTGGAAAAAAACACCTTAAATTTCACATGGAACCAAAAGAGAGCCCACATAGTCAAGTCAATTCTAAGCAAAAAGAACAAAGCTAGAGGCATCACTCTACCAGACTTCAAACTATACTACAAAGCTAATCAAAATAGCATGGTACTGGTACCAAAACAGAGATATGGACCAATGGAACAGAACAGAGGCTACAGAGGCAACACTACATATCTACAACCATCTGATCGTTGACAAACCTGACAAAAACAAGCAATGGGGAAAGGATTCCCTGTTTAATAAATGGTGTTGGGGAAACTGGCTAGCCATGTGCAGAAAGCAGAAACTGGACCCCTTCCTGACACCTTACAGTAAAATTAACTCCAGATGGATTAAAGACTTAAACATAAGACCTAACACCATAAAAAGTCTAGAAGAAAATCTAGGCAAAACCATTCAGGACATAGGCATAGGCAAGGACTTCATGACCAAAACACTAAAAGCATTGGCAACAAAAGCCAAAATAGACAAATGGGACCTAATCAAACTCCACAGCTTCTTCACGGCAAAAGAAACAGTCATTACAGTGAATCGGCAACCAACAGAATGGGAAAAAATTTTTGCAGCTTACCCATCTGACAAAGGGCTGATATCCAGAATTTACAAAGAACTAAAACAGATTTACAAGAAACAAACAAACAAGCCCATTCAAAAGTGGGCAAAGGATATGAACAGATACTTTACAAAAGAAGACATACATGAGGGCAACAAACAGATGAAAAAATGCCCATCATCACTGGTCATCAGAGAAATGCAAATCAAAACTACATTGAGATACCATCTCACGCCAGTTCGAATGGCGATCGTTAAAAAATCTGGAGACAACAGATGCTGGAGAGGATGTGGAGAAATAGGAACACTTTTACACTGTTGGTGGGAGTGTAAATTAGTTCAACCATTGTGGAAGACAGTGTGGCGATTCCTCAGGGACCTAGAAATAGAAATTCCATTTGACCCAGCAATCCCATTACTGGGTATATATCCAAAGGATTGTAAATCGTTCTACTATAAGGACACGTGCACACGAATGTTCGTTGCAGCACTGTTTACAATAGCAAAGACCTGGAATCAACCCAAATGCCCATCGATGATAGACTGGACAGGGAAAATGTGGCACATATACACCATGGAATATTATGCAGCCATCAAAAACGATGAGTTCGTGTCCTTTGTAGGGACACGGATGAACCTGGAAACTATCATTCTCAGCAAACTGACACAAGAGCAGAAAATCAAACACCGCATGTTCTCACTCATAGGCGGGTGTTGAACAATAAGAACACATGGACACAGGGAGGAGAGCACTACACACTGGGGTCTGTTGGCGGGAAATAGAGGAAGGATAGCGGGGGGTGGGGAGTTGGGGAGGGATGGCATGGGGAGAGATGCCAGATATAGGTGATGGGGAGGAAGGCAGCAAGTCACACTGCCACGTGTGCACCTATGCAACAGTCTTGCCTGTTCTTCACATGTACCCCAAAACCTAAAATGCAATACAATAAAAAATTTACAAAAAAATTCAAAATAAGCTTGTAAATGTCTGTCAACAAACATGCCATAATTTTGATAAATTAAAGCAGAGGTGTCCAATATTTTGGCTTCCCTAGGCCACAATGGAAGATGAACTGTCTTGGAACACACATAAAATACACTAACACTAATGATAACTGATAACCTAAAAAAGAAAAAAAGTCCTTGTATAGTTTTCATTATATCTACCACCACAGGTAAGCAAAAATGTCCTTGCATAATAATCCTAATTATGCACTGCCCATTCAGAGGGTCTTTTAAAATTGTTGAATGGGTCCCAAGTTTGCAATCACTGATATAGAAAATGCACATATCTAAGTTAAAAAAAACTTCACTACTTTAATATTTTTTATTATAAAAGAAAAGAGGGCAATGTAAAACCAGTGGTGTACTTGACATTGTTTTTGAGAAACGAATGCATCAATATCTGGCTTGATGGAAGTAGTTGCAATTCTCAGTGAGTTACCAAGGTGCTCATCAGATATTTTGGTTCTAGTTTTACTCTTCATGTGCTTCATCCTTGAAAATAGTTGCTCACAAATGTAGGTGTTGCCAAAAAGCAATGAGATGAACAAGGTGTGATTGTGAAGCGAGGGATATTTGTCATTGGGCAGACAGGTCTTACAAATGTCCAGTAAAGAAACACGATCACATTTTTCTTTAAGTTGAACGTCAGACTGCAGCTCTAGGCATTCCATTTGAAAATTGGCAGGTAACATATTTATGCTAATGGAAAATGGAATCACAAATATACCAAAATATTATTTTTTCAGAAATCTTGAAGTTCCTGTTTTCAAATTCCTGTATCAAATTGAAAAGCAAGGCTGCATATTTTTTGCTGTTCACAGGACAGTGTTTAGCCAATGTGTCAAAATGCATAAAATTGTTTGCCTTAATTTGAACTTGACATAATTTCAGTTTCATTTGGAACGCTGTTATGGTTTGAAACATTGTATTGTTAAGTTGGTTTTCACCTTGAAGACACAGGTTTAACTCACTTAAATGGGCCTTCAAATCCACTAAAAACGCTAAATCTGTAAGCCAGTTTTCACTGTCAAGTTCTGGCACAAATTTTGTGTTTGATACCATAAACGGCTTGATTTCATGTCACAAAGCATAAAATCTTCACAACATTTTGCCTTGACTTAACCACGTTACTTCTGAAAAGTGAATGATGTTGCTAGAGTCAGCATCCATACTTTTAAGGAATTCCTGCAACTAGCAATGGTGAATTCCCTGGCCCTTGTGAAATTCACAGCCTTGATAACAATTTGCATGATGTTATCCATTTTTAAAGCCTGTGCATATGGATTTTCTTAATATATTATGCAATAATATTTGATCAAATGTGAGTTTTGTGTGGCAACTGCATCATCTTCTATTAATTTTACAAGTCCCATTCTTTTACCTACCGTCACCAGGGCACCATCTATAGCTATGTCAGATATGTTCATAACAGACAAAGAAAATTGCTTTAATGTATTTTTCACTGCTTTGTATAAATCTCTTGATTTAGTTGTGTCTTTTAATGGCACGGTGACATTTCTATTTCTTCAGTGACATTATATTCATCATCAATACCTCTAATAAAAATGGCAAGTTGTGCCATATCTGTAGTGTCAGTGCCTTCATCTGTCATCAAAGCTAAAATTTTAAATTAGCAGGTTTACTCTCCAAACGTCTTTCAACAGATTTCCCAATTTCTTCCATTCTCCTGGGTATAGTCTGGTGAGGCAAACTGATTTTAGAAATATCAGTTTCTCAAGACAAATAATCTCTACCACATCTTCTGTACATTGTTTAATAAACTCACCATCAGTAAATGGTTTTCATTTTTTTTGCCATTAAATTTGCTACCACATAACTAGCCCTTATGATAGAGTTTGTCTGAGTTGTAACTTTAAAAAAATTTTTGTTGTTGTTATTGAAAACACAGACTTTTAGGGGAGCATCACACACTGAGGTCTGTGGTTGGGAGGACTAGGGGAGGGACAGTGGGGGGTAGGGAGCTGGGGAGGGATAACATGGGGAGAAATGCCAGATATAGGTGATGGGGATGGAGGCAGCAAACCACACTGCCATGTATGTACCTATGCAACAATGCTGCATGTTCTTTACATGTACCCCAGAACCCAAAATGCAATTATACATATATACAGAGAGAGAGAGAAAAGACAGACTTTTTTCAGTTCTGCTCTTTTGTGCTTGAAATACATTCCTTGATATGTACCAAATCTGTCAGCATGTTTTTGCATATAATGCCTCTTCAAATTGTAGTCTTTGAAAACTCGCACAAATTCCATGGAAATTAAGGAGAGTGCTTTGCTATTTACATTAAAAAGAATAGAATAGAAGTCATTTGCCCACCTTTCATTGAACAATCTTCCTTCATCCATAATTTTTTTTTAGGGTTCTGTTTTCTTTTTAAGATATTGTGGAAGCTATGCTGGAATTAAAAACATTATATAGATAAGCAACTATATTTAATTTTATTATGAAAATTTGGGCCAGGCACGGTGGCTCATGCCTGTAATCCCAAGCACTTTGGGAGTCTGAGACAGGTGGATCACCTGAGGTCGGGAGTTTGAGACCAGCCTGACCAACATGGAGAAACCCCGTCTCTACCAAAAACACAAAGCATTAGCCAGGCATGGTGGTGCATGCCTGTAATCCCATCTACTTGAAAGGCTGAGGCAGGATAATCGCTTGAACCCGAGAGGCAGAGGTTGCAGTGAGCCGAGATTGTTCCACTGCACTCCAGCCTGGGCAACAAGAGTGAAACTCCATCTCAAAAAAAAAAAAAAAAAAAAGAAAGAAAAGAAAAGAACAAGCAAAGCTTAATAATCAAATAAGAATACTTACATGTCTTCTAAATAATATTGAACACCTATCATTTACAACCATAGATTGAAATACTATTGATAATCACTATGTTTTACTTGCCAGGTTGCCACAAACACACCTAATATCTGATAGTGTCAATTCAAATGTCTATGATTGGAAGATAACACACTGGAAGTCGCACATCACCACAAAACTGAATCCACACATTTGTACAAATTGCAAGTGTGTCCGGCATACAGCAGCATTCTGCCTTCTCTAGAATACACACTTGAATTCTTTGTCACAATTCACTTTACATGGCATTGCAATAGAGTCCTCTCACTCTTTATTTTGTTAATTTTAATGGTTTTTCATTTCTTCTGGCCGAACTGTTTGCAATTAGAATGCAAATTATAGATAATACTCCACTATTTGTGGATGTGACATCCTCTGATTATCCCATTCCACTCCATTGTCATCTACAAAGTTCACACTTGAGAATTGCAGTCAAATTACAAAATTACAAAAGAAAAATTACAAAAAAAAAAAAAAATCACAAAATGTTTTCAGAAAGTTTCCAAATTTGCGTTGGGCTATATTCAAAGCCATCTTGGACTACCTGAGGCCTGTAGGTCACAAGTTGCACAAGCTTGAATTAAACCAATAGAACAATTTAAGGATAATCTGTACCTTTACTATGTTTAGTCTTTCATTCCATAAATATACTATGCCTCTCCATTTCTTTAGGTTTTATTTCTTTCCTCAACAAATTGTAGTTTTCAGCATAGAGATCCTGTACATCTTTTGTTAGATTTACACCTGAAGTATTTCGTTTTTGTTGGAGTAAATGTAAATGATATTGTTTTTCTTATATTTTCAGATATTAAGTGTTATGTAGAAATGTAAATAATTTGGGGCATATCCTACAGCCTTGCAGAGCTCACTTATTAGTTCTAGAAATCTTTTTGTATATTCCTTGACATTTTACACATTGACAATTATGTCACCTGAAAATAATGACAATTCTATTATTTTCTTTCCAATCTGTATGCTTTTTATTTCTTTTTCTTGTTTATTGTATTAAGACATCCAGTATGCTCTTCAGGAACAATGCTGAGAGTGGGCATTTTTAAAAATTGTTCCCCCCCCCTTTTTTTTTCATCCTCAAAGAGAAACTCTCAGCAAGAATAATTGTTCCTGATCTTGGAAAAAACCATTCAGTCTTTCATCATTAAATGTGATTTAGCTAAATGGTTTTTTTATAGATTGTCATTATTAAGTGAAGAAACTGTCTCTGTCTTCCTAGTTTATTGAGATTTTATCATGAGTGCTGGAAGTATACATTTTAAAACAAAACATAGTTGTGGAAGATAAAAGAAATTTCCAAGCATGCTGGCTTGATAGGCCAGCCCCAAGTTGGGAAAAAGAATTACCTCTTTCTTTTTCCTTCTACTTATGAAATAAAAAATTAAGAGAAAACAATTTTTTTAAGAGAAAACAATTTGCATGGAATTGCATTATTCCTTGAAAACAGGTTCCTAAAATATTACCTACTTTTGAAAAAAAGATCACGACATCATGGCATCCCTTTTTCAAGTTGCCCATGTATTAAAGATTGTGTATTAAAGACAGAGCTGGTCTGAGGCAACATACAGTCTGCCAAGGCCACCTGCCTATCTGTCATCAATCCTTTTCTACTCTGCACACTCCTGGGGAAGTACTAGGTCTTGTTCTGTCTACTCCATTGGAAGAACAGTTCCCTACCATGTGGAGCATTTGCACTTAAAAGGAGACTGAGATATAGAGGCTGGAGATCATACCAGATGGCTGGGTCTCCCCACTTCCACCCCTGCCCCACATATACTCAGAAGAGGCTAGGCATTTAGGATCTCTATTGAGCATCTTGAATATGGCCTGCCATATCATATACAGTTACTAAATATTGGTTAAATAAGTCACGTCTGTTCAATATATTTTGTACAATCATAAAGAGCTCCACAACTAATGTGAGACAAAATGTTTCTGCTTTGAACTCTAGCCTTTTGGCCCAGTAGGACTCATGAAAAGTGCCATCTCTTTAAGTCAGGATGATGAATGGAAGAGAATACGATCACTGCTGTCTCCAACCTTCACCAGTGGAAAACTCAAGGAGGTATGAAAATAACATGTGTTTTCAATTAGAAATATAAAGAATGAATTTGGGGACAGGTAGAAAGTAAGATCACAGTCCCTTTCCAAGGGGTTGTCCACTGAGTTTGAGCTTCCTAAAAATGGTCTTTTATCTTTATGTACAGAAAAGACATCACAAAATTTGTTATAAAAATGTAACTTACTGCTCCATGCTGGGGAAAGCCATGTCCTCCTAGTACTTGAGTCTTTATATTTAACTACAGGTAGTAATCTGTTTTGTGCTTAGATGTTCCCCATCATTGCTCAGTATGGAGATGTGTTGGTGAGAAACCTGAGGCGGGAAGCAGAGAAAGGCAAGCCTGTCACCATGAAAGAGTAAGTAGGAGCACAGCCATGGGGTTCTGAGTTATTATGGGCCCCTCCAGCTGCCTGCCATGGAACTGATATTCCCACTGTTGCGTTGCTCCAGTGATGAGACAAAAGCAGGGCAGTGTCGCAACTCCAAAGAGCCACCTAAGAGGGAGTGGCTCCCATAAGGAGGCAAGTCAACCAGAAAAAAAGGCCTTCTCTCTGATGCACAGGAGCCAGGATTTACTTACCTGTTAACTTGGCACCATAAATATTCTGGGAGATTAAATATATACTTTAGAAATTTAAAAAACATGATTGTATCAATGTTTTGAGTGTAGTGGATATGGAAGTGTGAGTAAGAAAGCATTTGGTACTTGTTGACTTGCATTGGGTAGGCTGAGAAAGTTACAGTGGGGAACTTGGAACAATTTTAATCCCTTCATGGTTTTTCTGAGGATATCAGCAAACCATAAAATATTAAACCTTCGCACCTCTTCCTTTCGCTCCAATCTCAAAAGAGAAAGGATGCTAGAAACCTATGTGTAGGGCAACCCTATTATTAGCTGTCTACATTGGTATTTGCTTGAATTGTTCAACAACAGGTGTAATTTGAGCCTATCCTTGGGACCATCACTCAGCTATGGGATTCCCCAAATAAATGTTGGAGAGATCTATTTTTTTTAACCAGAATATTCTTGGTTGTTATATTTTACAAAAATGATTCTGTTCTCAGAGCAACCTCAGGTCAGAGGAGCTGGGGATAGCAGGGTTTTCCAGAGCTATAGCAGGGAGTATAGAGAATAAACGATTATATTTCTGGGAACTTAGAACAGGGTGTTGCTGTTTTGTAAAGTGCTGAAGAGGAATCAGTTCTGGGCATACAGTCTATAGTCAGACAATGTCACCTTTCTTGAATCCGTTAGGAAGAATTAATTATTCTACTCATGTCCTGTTGAAGCCCACTGCTTCCACATCTTGTATCATCCACTCTCAACACATGCTACTGTAGTTGTCTGATAATGGCTCTCTGTCTTCCTGCGATTGGGCTCCTCGACCTCAGAAGTGATAACTCAGCTTGGTGTCTCCATCACCCCTAGTGCAGGGTCACCTGCATCACCGGCACCCAATAACCACCTTTTAAAGGAGTGTGATGGGAGATGATCCAGCAGATAGTTCTGAAAGTCTGTGGCTCTTTACCTGTCTTGACTGGACATGTGGGTTTCCTGTTGCATGTATGCTGGAATAATGGTAAAGAGGTACTGATTTTAATTTTCCATGTCTTTCTCTACTCAGTATCTTTGGGGCCTACAGCATGGATGTGATCACTGGCACATCATTTGGAGTGAACATCGACTCTCTCAACAATCCAAAAGACCCCTTTGTGGAAAGTGTTAAGAAGTTCCTAAAATTTGATTTCCTTGATCCACTATTTCTCTCAACAAGTATGTAGACTATTATTTCTTTATCTCTCTTTTTAAAAATAACTGCTTTGACATATAATTCACATATCATATAATTCATCCACTTAAAATGTGCAATCCCATTGTTTATAAGATACTAAAAAATATATGTGACCATCACTATTGTAAACTAAAACGTTTTTGTCAATCTAGAGTCCTCATACATTTTTTGTTATCAACAACCTGCCATAAACTCCATTGCCTTAAGCAACCATTTGGCTATTCTGGATACTTCATAGAAATAATATCACTGATTTTTCTCTGTTGTTTTTTATTCTCCATTTCGTGAGCTTGTACTTTAGTCCTTGTTATTTTCTTCCTTTTGCTGGCTTTAGGTTTAGTTAGCTCTTCTTCTTTTAGTGTTTTGTGATGTAAATGGTAATTATCAATTTGAGATATTTTATTCTTTTATATTTAGGCATTACAGCCATCAATTTCCCTCTGAGCACTGCTTTGGCTACATCCCATGTTTTGGCATATCATGTTTTCTTTTTGTTCATCTCAAAACAATTTCTTCTTGCCCTTTAGATTTCTGCTTTGACTCACTGGTCACTTAAAACTGTATTGTTTTAAGTTCCACAAATGTATGAGTTTCCCAAATTTCTTTCCCTTATTGATTTCTGGTTTCATTCCATGGAATTTGATGTATATACGCTGTGTTATTTCCATCTTGACTATTATTTCCTAAACACCATTATTAATTTAAGCAGCACATTATGGCCTGATTAAACCAAAAACTCTAGTCCAACACATAAAGGCTAAGAGGGCAGGGAATTTAATTCTGTTTCTTTGGACACTCCTAAGATGAAGAAGGTACCATTGATCTCACTGCTGTAGTGGTGGTTTCTATGGATAGACCTGCCCTTGCTTAGTCACTGGCCTGAAAGAGGGGCAAACACGATCAAAGGAATGGGTTCCAGCTGAGAACCTGATGTTCTTATTCTTATTACTGGTAGAGAAAATTATAATTGCTCCAGGTAAATTTTGCATTTTCACTACGATTTTCTTTTGTTTTTCCCACAGTACTCTTTCCATTCCTTATCCCTGTTTTTGAAGCATTAAATTTCTCTCTGTTTCCAAAAGATGCTATAAATTTTTTAAAGAAATCTGTAAACAGAATGAAAAAAAGTCGCCTCAACGATAAACAAAAGGTAAAATCTGGTGGTGGTTAAATGACAGTGTTTAGTTTTTGATAAATTTAGATTTTATATATATGGTAGTGTATGCATCTATATTTTTAAAAAATAAAGAAAGAGAACTTATGTTTAGAACAAGAGAAGTATTTGGTAGAAATGAAGAAGGAGATTGGGGAAGGAGATGAGAATAAGTCAGAGAGATAGCATTTTAAATTTTGATACCAGACTCAACAATTAGTATGTCATGACATAAATAGTACTGAGATACAACTTTACTACTTCACTTCCCTTCAATACATTGCCAAAGGACAACAATTCCTGTTTGAAAATATATTTTACTGGTATTATGCTTTCCTCACATCACAAATTGGTAAAGAATGATTTCAAATCCAAGCCTGTTATTTTACTTATTCTTCAATGAAAGGCCCTATCAGGCTACCTGCCAACTGCTGACATGTAGTGTGTGGTAAATTTGAGTGCTTCACAGCCTGGAATGAAGAGGGGTATTTTCTGAGAATTTAGATTGCAAGGCTGACTAACTCAGCTTTGCCTTCATGAACCCTAGAGGCCAGCTGAAGGATATCTGCAGGTCAGGGAGGTAGCACCAGGTAACTCAGGTGTCAATGAAGATTGTATAGAGTCTAAGAATGTTGGAGTATTTGAAAATACTCCCCAAAAAAGCTGCTGATGAGTTCTGGGAATCTCAGTAGATTATGTGACATTGATGAAGAAGAAGGTACAAGAATAAAACATCCAGGACTCCCTCCTGGGTAAGTAGTCATGACCACAGATGGAACTGGCAACTCTTTGGCCAGGAAGCTATGTCCAAAAGACAGAGTAGGTGAGCAACAGGGAAGGCAAGAACAAAAAAGCAACTGGACATGATAGCTAGATTCATTTGAGGAAAACATCCTTCTTTCCAAGGATTTGGATGAATGTTTTTGTTCAGTGCTGACTCGGGCAACACCATCAGACTTCTGTTCTTCAAGAAACCACAGGGAGGTTGAGGGAGAGAAGTCAAAAAGGGAAGTTGAATACTGCACTTTGGATTTACTTCCGGCTGCATGAGTCACTTTCTGTCAATGAAATTTCTCTTTTGGCTTCTAGCACAGAGTAGATTTCCTTCAGCTGATGATTGACTCCCAGAATTCAAAAGAAACTGCATCCCACAAAGGTAACCAAGGAGTGCTTCTGGGGGCTACTGGTGGGGACATTAAGAGGGAGGTCCTTGCTCTGAAAATGTGCAGGAAGTATTCCAGGAAGATGAGAATTTCTGCCACAGAGCAGAACAACACACATTTATATGTTGTAAATGGTAGCTGGAGGCACTTTCCAGAAGCCCACAGGTACAGGCATGTTCCAGGCTTGAAATAACGCTTGGTGGACAGTCAGTGGTTTGTGGATCACCTACATGAGATCAAATGCCGGTTCTCAGCCTCCTCCAGATCCACTGAGTGAGAACCTCTACTTGGAAATTTATATCAAACATCCCAATCAGTAAGGGTCCCAGCACACTGTCCCAGTAAGGGTGATTTCAACTGGCAGTACTTGATGAAAGCGTGTTTGCCAGGTTAATTTACTGCAAAGTTTTCTTTTTCGCTTTGAAACGGATAAGTAGTTAATGGGGGAAACCTCTGAGACCATGTAAATCTTGTCTTCAATCTTTTACCTACCAGTTTTACGACCCACAGATGGTTTTGACTGAAACCATTATTACTAAGACAGTGGCAAAATGATAACCATGGTCAATTTCAAGCTACCAAGATTTGGCAACCATCTCACAAAATTCCCGAATATGTAACAACTGGTTCTAGAAAGCAGGACTGGGTTGACTCCAGTTTATCACTTTAAACATGTCCATGTCTACATCTACTTCTATCTGTCTGTCTGTCTGTCTATCTATCTATCAATCATCTATCTATCCATAATCTATTAATTAATCTTCTACCTATCTCAATAAACCTTGCTATGATAAAGGAAATAGTCTATCATTTCACTGTTCCACATGCAAATCACTAGACACAAATTTCAACACAGTATAATGGGGTTCAATATAACTGAATAAAACAATTGGATGGCTGAATTTACCCACAGCACCATACAGAAATCCTCACTGGTAAATCACAACTCTGTAGAACTTTCTCATTCTCATTTAATATTGTGTTTGGTTGTGAATTACATGGTTGCAGCAGGCACTACATTTATTTCTGTGTTCCACGTCTCTAAAGGTCCTAATCAAGTCCTCATCAAACAGACTAGTGATGGACCATCTTGAGCTTCTCTCAGAAGAAATATCAAGAGGGAGGCCAACCTGTAATCATAAGAACTTCTGCTATTTTAATGCCATTCATCAGACTACAGTCAATCACCATGCTTCTGGCTTTTTGTCTATCTCCGCAGTTCTGTATATCCTGAGATAGTCCATTTTGAGAACTGTACCCTAGATCTTGTACTGCCTGATGCCTCTCAAATATGTAATCCATGCTGCTCAAGTGAGCTTGTGCACACAAATCACCACATCTCCTGAAAGTTTGGATTTTGATTCAGTAGTTCAACAGTGGGGTTTGAGATTCTGCATCTCTAATAAGCTCCCAGATGTGGCTGGTGCTGCTGGTCCATGAAACATAGTTTGAGTAGCAAGAGGTGATCTGTAGCTCAATATTTGTCCTTCAAGTTCCTTCAAACATACATAGAGAAAAGGTCTTAAATATTGCAAATTTTTTCAAAGTTTGTCAAGCCATCTTGCAGAAAATCAAATTTTTCTTGGGGAAAATGCTACCCCATATTTACTTACAGATAAAGTACTTTTAGGAGCATTCAAGGAACACTCCCATAATGCCAAGTATGTTACACAGAAATGCTCTCTCTGGAAATTACAGAGCAGTGCTGGTGCTGGGATGCCATGATGAGGAAGAGATGGCCCACAGTCATGTAGACCATGGGAAATCATGGATTAAAATGATTTTGCCTCATTCTGGCTCTGTAAGGTACACATCAGAATGAAAACCACCCCCAATGTGACTCTGAATTGCTTTTCCATTTTTTCCTCTTGGGATTGGAGAGCTTCACTTATCTAAGCTGTGATGTTGTACATTGGCCTGATTTATCTAAAATGTCTTTCCTCTCCTTTCAGCTCTGTCTGATCTGGAGCTCGTGGCCCAATCAATTATCTTCATTTTTGCTGGCTATGAAACCACCAGCAGTACTCTTTCCTTCATTATGTATGAACTGGCCACTCACCCTGATGTCCAGCAGAAACTGCAGGAGGAAATTGATGCAGTTTTACCCAACAAGGTGAGTGGATGATACATAGAGAAGGAGGGAGGAGGTGAAGCCTCAGTAAAAATGCCTCCTCACCACTTCCCAGGAGAATTTTTATAAAAAGCGTAATTAGTGATTCTTTCACTGACACTATGTAGGAAGGCTCTGAGGGGAGAAACATAGGGAATGGTTGCGATTGGCAGATTTATAAGATCTTTGTAAAACAGTGCTGGCCCTGGTTCATCTGCTTTCTGTTACCACAATAATGCTAAGTTAAAAACATCCAAAAACCTCAGTGGCATCCAACAATAAGGATTTGTTGCTCACATATCTGGATAGTGAGCTCTGCTGACATTGGCAGGACTGGCTCTGGTCTGGCTGTGGTCTGACAGAGCTTGGTCCTGAGTGTGCTGCATAGACTGACTCAGCTCTGCCCCATACCTGTCTCATGTTCCAGTCAGGTAGCCACTGGCGAAGACACCAAGCTAGGAACCAGGGTATCTGGCTCCTGAGGTTGTTGGAGTTCAGGGGAGCCATTAGCTTCCCTGAGAGGACATTTCTCCAGGTTCATGGTCTATCACTCTCTCAAAAATGAGAGAGGAGACTACAGCACAGTGTGCTCATAAAGTAAAATACTGGACTTAAAAAGTTGTGGTAGAAAGTGATTTATTTAGATAAAGAGGAAAAGGGGAAGGAGAGAGGAAGAAACAGCTAGCTCTCATACCTAGTGAGAGAAAGAAAAGCTGCTCTCACACTGAGTGAGAAGGGTTCCCAGAGGGAGAAAACCAGAGAAGGAAAACTCCCCTCACACTGAGTGAGAGAATACAGAAAGATGGAATCCAGGAGAGGAAAGACAGCTTCCACACTGGGTGGAAGGGGACCCCAGAGGGGAAATCCAGGAGGGGAAAGAGAGCTCCCACTATGTGGCACGGAGTTTCAGAGAGCAGGAAATCCGGTGTGGGTGAAGGAGCATGGGAATTTATCCTGGGAGAAATTCCCACCTCCCCAAGTTCCTCTGTCCAATGAAAGGAGTTCCTTTAAACTTCTGCTGAGGTGATTGACCCTTAGTTTCTTCCCCTGCCCATTAAATTTAAACATAAACCGTTAAATCTTCTGGATGGAGAGAGATGAGAGGGGGACATGGCGCTGGGAAGTTCTTGCAGCCACCACCCCCAGCCTATCCTCAAGTTTTTAATGGAGTTTTTATATAATATAGTGTTTATATCATATATATATATATAAAAGAGTTGCCAAGTGGGACTTTGCCACCAATAATCCTTGTGTAGAAGAGATCTGCTCTTTTCCCTGTTTTTCTTTCTTGGTACAGACGTGTGACCTCTTTTTGAAAGGTGACAGTGTCTTTGGTGTATTTTATTTGGTGGTAATGGTCACAGCCTATTAATTACATTTCTTCCCATGAGAAAGAAAAATTACTACATGGCCATGCTAAGGATTTCAGTCCCTGGGGTGGGGTTGGTCCTGAATATTTCCTACGTTCATAACTCTTCCACACATCTCGGTAGGTCACTGAGCACATCAATGGGCATGACAGTTACTAAAATGGTTTACAAATGCTACAATCATTTACCAGTATGAGTTATTCTCTAGAGCTTGTAACACTTCAGTAATACTGCATGCACTGAGTTGAAAGTTAATTCAAAATCTCAGTTTATCCAAATCTGTTTCATTCTTCCCAGGCACCTGCCACCTATGATGCCGTGGTACAGATGGAGTACCTTGACATGGTGGTGAATGAAACGCTCAGATTATATCCAATTACTATTAGACTTGAGAGGGTCTGCAAGAAAGATGTTGAAATAAATGGAGTGTTCATTCCCAAAGGGGCACTGGTGGTGATTCCAACCTACACTCTTCACTATGACCCAAAGTACTGGACAGAGCCTAAGGAGTTCCGCCCTGAAAGGTATGAGGCTCCAGGGAAAATGGAGCTCACCCTGAACCAGGCTGTTTCAAGCATATTCTGCCTCTCTTAATCTACATGACAACTGTGTGGTTGTACAATCATTTGTTTGTAAGTCTTGTTATCCCAAAAAAGTGGTAACTGTCAAACTTTACAAACCACAGACAAGAAAAAAATGAAAATACAGCCATCCACAGTCCCAACACATTAAATTGAAGATAATTAAGTCTCTGTGGGCATTTTTCTATGCCTATATAGACTTTTAAAAACTAGAATGGTATCACTTTTTATTTGGTTTGAATTGCTGCTTACTTAATTTAACAGGAAACTATCCACTGACCTACATTACTGTAAGTGTGTGTATGTGTGTGTGTGTATATATATGTGTGTATATATATATATATACACACATACACACACACATATACACACGCATACACAATATGTGTGTATGTGTGTGTGTATATATATATATGTATATGTATATGTATATGTATATTGCATATGCCATAAACCATTTAACCATGATGTTAGTTCAGGTGTATAGGCGTTTTATTCCTTGCAGTTTTTTCTATGCTGTGCCCTTTAGCTCTCTGAATTTAACAGCAACTTTGAAAGACCCTTTCATATTCCATTTTCTTTCAACATTGCTTGCTGTTTCCTCTATGGTAATTATAAAAGTGCAGGCTGAGGTCCTGAGAAGTCCTCACCCCTAATGGATTAAACCACTTCATTGAGTACACAAGACAGCACAGGTCCTCCTGGTTCTGTCTGTGGCAGTCCTGTGCCAGCTCCCTTATACTCTCAGTAGACATCTCATACACTCCTCCTTGGAGGTGTCTTGAGCATACTCTTCCGGGAATTCAGGGACAAGGTCAGGCTTTGGGCACAGTTGGCACTCTAGATATAGTTGGTGTTTTCCCATTATTCTATTATTAAGCAAAATTTAGAATGAAATGTTTAGGGTACTGGCTAATGATTCAGGATGCTTGGGAGCTAGACTTTCATTGGCCCCTACCTCCAAGTTTGTTGATGGCAGGGACCTTGTCTTGTTGGCCATGGTGTCCCTAGTGCTAGCATAGAGTCTGCACATAATACTTGTTCACAGAGTAAGTCAGAGCTGACCAAGTTCTGTTTTCTGGAGTAGAGGACTTCTCTATTTCCTGCAAGCTCAGTACTTCCACCTGCTGTGGCTGCACTAATACAAAATCAGAGACCACTCGCTGTATTTCACTTTGAATCATTCAGTCACCAAACAGATAGTGCTTGCCATGTGTCAGGAACTTGGCCAGGCAAGGAGAAATCCATATGATTTATATAAATGCAAATCATGTAATTTATATGAATCCAAATCATATGATTTATATGAATCTAAATCATATATAAATTTATATAAATCTAAATCATATAAACGTATATAAATCTAAATCGTATATATCATCTAAATCATAAACATCATCTAAATCAAACTTGCTCTAATCAGGGTGCTTCAGAACTTCTCCTTCAAACCTTGTAAAGAGACACAGGTCGGTACTTTCTGTATGTTTTGTATCCTAAATGAAGTGGCTTAAACCATTAGAAATGAGGACTTCTCAGGACCTGAGGACCTCATATATAATCATATGATTTAAGGTTATATAAATGGATTTATATAAATCCAAATATAAATTTATATAAATCTAAATCATAATATAAAGCCATTTTTATAAATCTAAATCATATATCATCTAAATCATAAATCTAAATCATATATATCTAATCATATATATAATCTAATTATAAATCTAAATAATATATATCATATGATTATGGAAATCCAAATCATATATAAATCAAAAATCATATGATTTAGATTTATATTAATGGATTTATATAAATCACATGATTTAGATTTATATAGATTTATATAAATCCATAAGATAAATATGTGTGTGTGTATAAATATATATATATTTGAGGATGTTTGACATATACACGTGTACTCTATAGATACCAGCCTATAGAATAGTTTTCATTGCCTCCATTTATCTATCACTGGTCCCAACAGCCATCAAACCATGTTAGCTGCCCCATCCAAATGCCACCACCACTCTCCTCCTGACTGTCATGTTATTTTGAAGCAGAGCCTGTAAATATTTCAGAATGTTCTCCAAAATATAAAGACTCCTGTAAAAATATATGACAAAAATGTTATTACTTTCCTCAAATCAACATTTTTTCCTTACTATAATCAAATATTTAGAAATCTAATTTGAATAAAACACGGGTCCATCTTGAAAGAATTTATAGCCTAGTGGAACAGATAAAGGAAAGCAGTGATAACCCTACAGTAGGGTAGCATCACATGCCCATGTAAATTATTCGACTTAAACTATTCTATGAGGATGTGGGGGAGAAATAGATGGAGAGGAGAACAAGGAAGAGAACGAGGAGGAGAAGCAGGCAGAGAAGGCGGCAGATAGAGGAAGGTGGGAAGGAGGAGGAGGAGGGGAATCAGAAAAATGGATGACAGGAGAAGGAAAGGGAAAAGTAAAAACTTGAAGCAGCACAAGACATCTTCTCCTTTTCCTTTCTCAATGAGCACGTGACCAACATCAGTGTCAGTAGAGGCAGGAACCCACTTTTCCATCCATCAGTCTCATCACCTATGTGCCTTTTATAGCGTGAGCACACTGCCACCCTCAATATAATTTTAGTGTTTAGAGATAAATATTATTTGCAACAATATTCACCTCATCTCAAGGAACCTCAATGCTCCTATAGGGCATGGAGAATGGAAAGGACTTGTAGGTTACAATTATTAAACAAAATAACCAAAGCAGGATTTCAATGACCAGCCCACAAAAATATCCTGTATCCTACTGGTTAGGAAGTGGAGGGGGGCGGTTCTTAAGAACTCCTAATATGTAACTGTGGTTTTTATGTTTCATTTACTTTTTAATAGGTTCAGTAAGAAGAACAAGGACAGCATAGATCCTTACATATACACACCCTTTGGAACTGGACCCAGAAACTGCATTGGCATGAGGTTTGCTCTCATGAACATGAAACTTGCTCTAATCAGAGTCCTTCAGAATTTCTCCTTCAAACCTTGTAAAGAAACACAGGTCAGTACACTTTCTGTATGTTTCATTAAGAACTTTTCTAACCAAAGGGTGTATATTTTTTAAAAAGAATATGCATGTTTATCTTTTAATAATTTGTT